AACTTTTAAATTGTTCATTTTTGTCCAATGATTTTTATTTATTTACTAATTTATGATTTTCAAATCAAATGAAGCCAATTTTTAAAGCTTAAGGATAAAATGAAATAAATATTTTAAAAATAGATATTTGTAAAATGTAAAAGGAAAAAAAAAACTAAAATAGAATAATAAAAAATTAAAGAGAATTTGAATTGATAAAAGAGTTTGGAGGCGACATTGGAGGGAGAATTGAGATCACATTTTGAGAAAGAAAAGCCTGAAATTAGGGCTTTCTTCCGGTAGGATTAGATGAATCAACCGTCCAAAAGGAAGAATTTCCGGAAAAGAAATTGTTGTGATTCAGAAGATGGAGGAGATGATGCAAACTCCGTCAGCACGAAATTGGAGGAGGAGGAAGAAGAGCACAGGTTGGCATTGGAGGAGGTAAAATTCTTGCAGAAACAGAGGGAGAGGAGGGCAGGAATTCCTGCAATTCCTGCAGTATCGACGCAGACTAGCACTGCCGGTGCTGTCGGCGGTCTTGTTCGGAAACCCACTGACGCTAACAGTAATATTGGTGGCGGGGGGGTCGGGGGCAATAAGAATGAAGGTGCTGGAGGCGAAGGCGACAAGGATGATTTGGTCCTTCAGGATACATTCGCTCAGGAAACTGCCGTCATGGTTGAAGATCCCAATATGTATTATTCTCCTTAATTGTATCGTTCTCAACGAAATTTTTCTATTTGATGGATTATATTCTAGGAATCGAGGTGGGGGGATGTTTTATATGTTTAAAATTGGGGGTTTGATGAGTTCTCATGAAAGGTTGAAGTACATTGAACAAGAACTGGCGAAGAAAAGAGGAAGAACTGTGGAGAATGTAGAAGGAGCTGAGAATGACTTGAAACAGGCAGAAGATGAACTATACAAAATCCCAGAGCATCTTAAAGTGAGTGAGTAGTCAATCTAGTGTTCTTAACGTTCTTGTTTCATATCTTTCAGTTCTTCTGTTCATTGCTATTTCACTGAGTGCTGCATTTGATTGTTGTTAGAATTATCGAAGCTAGTATTTGGATTCATCCGGTTTGTATATTCTGGGACTTGTTTATGCTTATCCTTTTTTGGATTTTGTCAGGTGAAAAGACGAAATTCTAATGAAAGTTCCACTCAGTGGACTACAGGGATTGCAGAGGTTCAGCTTCCAATTGAGTATGTCTTTCCCCTCCTTTTTGAAAGAGTTTAATTCACACGTCCCAATGATGCTCGCTTCTTAATACTTTCTGTGAACTGGGGTAATCAAAAGCAGGAACAAAAGTGGAACGAAACCAATTACTTAGATATTAAGCTTTACTTGGTAGCTTATTATACTTTTATTGATCATGAGTTATTATCCATGTTAAGGATATTTAGCCTTGAATTATGGTTTAACATATGTATCATATTTGACCCTTTATTATAGACAAATATGTTGTACGATTGAGGATATTTAGCCTTCCATTACGGTTTATCATAAGTATCTTATTTGACCTTTTATAGGTAAATATCTTGTATCTATTTATTGCTCTTTTCATTTCCTTTGTAACTTATTTGATTTCGTAAATGATTATAAATAGAGAACTTTCACACTGTTTAGGTGCGGTGGTTTTAGCAAATATTCTCAATCCACATAAGCATTTTTCATAGTTACATTCGGTGAGGATATTTTCCTCTGTCCTTTGTGTGGCCAATATTTCTATTTGTAACAGATTCAAGTTGAAGAACATTGAGGAGACCGAGGCTGCGAAAAAGCTCTTGCAGGAAAAGAGATTTGTGGGTCGTTCAAAATCAGAGTTTAGCATCCCATCTAGTTATAGTGCCGATTACTTCCACCGTGGCAGGGATTATGCTGAAAAACTTAGAAGAGGTGCCTCGTCTCTTTCTATTAGTTTACCTTTTGGGATGATATTGCACTGTTATTTACCTGGATCTGATTTAAAATTTTGGTGATAACCTTCCTATGATGATAGTTTCTTACAAATTTTCTGCATTTCAAATGTTAGAGTATGTGAAAGTCTGGTGGTACTCTGATGATGTTGCTAAAAGCATGCCTATGATCTAAATTCTAGATATTTGTTGGATTGTTCAATCATTAAACCAAGAAACCTTATATCCGGAGAAAGGGATGAACATATAATCGTGTGCTTAATTAGATATTTTACTGTTTCTGACGAGGAATAAAAAAATATGCAGAACATCCTGAGCTGTACAAGAATAGAAATTTGCAAGATGATGGTTCAGGCTCCAAACCAACTGATAGTGGCACCGAGGCTGCAGGACAAAGGCAGGCTGCAACTGATGAGTTCATGCTAGAACGCTTCCGGAAACGTGAACGCCATCGTGTGATGCGGAGATAACACGACCTATCAGGCTGCTATTTCTCCGCAATTTGAGGTAACGTACTTGATAAAAGAAGTATCAAGGATAAAGATTTCTGTCCTCAAAAGCATCACGGGGTCATCTCAGGACCTCAGGTTATAGAGAACAACTACTTAGATCGTCGATTGATTTGTCATTCATAGTTTATCGTGGTAAACTCGGCCGATTGAATTATAATTCAAATATACTTTTGGATATACTGATATTGATGATGTGGTTTGCCTCTATCTGGTCTATCTATTTGTATCTTAATCTAGCCTCTGCATTTGCAGTTACATTTATCAGTTTTCTTGTACTTAGCCAAGTGCAGAGCTACCCAAAGTGCAAAGTGAATGGAAAAAATAATCCTTTTAGGTGACACTGAGATAGAAAACATGAACAATATTGGTGTTGGAAAGTTATAAACAAGTTATTTGATGATGCATTAGCTAATTAGTTCCAGTTTTATCATCTTACTCTTTACTATTGTCTGGTTCTCTTTCTTTCAATTTGCTGCTTTATTGATGGGTATAAGAACTCTAGGTTTTCTTTAGACGTCAATGGCTAATCGAGTCTAGAACTTGGACAAGGGCTATGGTGGCTGCCTACCAAAAGTTTGACGTTTTTATGAGTTATTTTGATAATCACGTGTGATAGGTTTGGCAATTGTCTTGTGAGACAAGTCCGAGGGTAGGTTAGATGGTTGTGTTGTGAGAAAAGTCGAGGTGTATATAAGTTTATTTGTCCCATATAATTGGAGGAAACGATGTTGAGAGCAATGAAGACTTTGTCATTTGTCATTGCTAGTCTGCATTTAGAATCGATGAACCCTAACGGTTGAGGTAGAGGTGCATTTAGAACCAATGAATCCTAACCGTTGAGGTGGAGGTGCATTTAGAACCAATGAACCCTAACCGTTGAGGTAGAGGTGTATATAAGTTTATCTGGCCTATATAATTGGAGGGAATGATGTTGAGAGCAGTGAAGACTTTGTCATTGCTAGCTTGCATTTAGAACCGACGAACCCTAACCATTGAGGTAGGCGAGGCTTCGCCAATTAGCACCCGAGCTTCTAGAAATAGCTATCCAATCCTTAGAATCTGAACCTTTTATCCAACCATTGGTGATCTCTCCTACTTCTCCAAGGTTGGTTTCATATCAAATCCAGTTCAAAGTAGTCTCTTCCCCTAATGCTTTCCATTTCAACGGCATTCAATTCATTGTACATACAATGCAACCACAACAGTTTCAAGTCAAAACATAAATAAGTTTCATTTGATATAAATATTTAATTGTCATTTAATATGATGATATTTGAAATTTAAAATATATAAGTTATAAGTAACATTTAATTATTATACTAATTGATTGCTGAATAAATTTTAAAATTTATACCATGCTATTCATTACATATTTACCATTAGATGAAACAGTTAATATAAATAAAGAACTTTTGAATTCATTAATACAAAAAAAATATTTTTAAGCTTTTTTAAAAAATAATAAAAATAAAATTAGTATTTTAAAAAATAACTTATATATAGATAATTTTCATCTATATTGACATAATAATTTTTTTTTTACTAAGATAAGAGTATTTTTTAATTTTTTTTTTTTAAATATTGAATGATATTTCTAAAACAATATTGAAAATAAAAAAAATAATTTTTTAAAAAAATATGTTAAAGTTTAAGAATATTCTTTTTAGACGAATTAGAAAGTTTTTAATCTTAATTTTATTATTTTCTTAATTTATTTATTTATTTTCTTAGTTTTAAATATCAATGTTAATAAGTATATATATATAGCCTTAATTTTAATAAAATGTCCCCCGGATATTTTTTAAAAATTATATAAATAAAAAAATCATAAAAACTTCTTTTATGACTATTTCGCTCATGTTAATTCCCTTCTTACATCAATGTCAATCACACGTGTATATATATGAATCGTGGATGAAATTGTTTATATAAAAAAATTTAATAATCTCATTTCATTTTTTATAGGAGCGTTTATAGGTTAAGTTGGATTGAATTACAACGTTTTTTAACCCAATTCAATTGTTCGAGTTGTAAATTTTTTTAACCCAAACCGCTCTTATTAATTTAAACGCTAGTTTGTAAACTTATATTTATTTTTAAGCATTTAATTAATTTTTGTAATTTAATATCAATATATAATTTAAAAATTATTTTTTAAATAGTTAAAAAAATATATTTAAAATGGTTGGTGAATAAATAATAAAAATAATAATTATAAAATTAAATAAAAATAAAATAAATATAGAAAAAAAATGTATATTGGGTTCGATTCAACCTAATTTAACAAAAATCTACGACCCAATCTAAACTCAACCCAACATATCTATTAAGTTTTATTTATTTAAACTCAAGCGGGATAAATTTATTATCGGACTCAAATCATACCAGTAGAGTAATAGAGTTGGATTGATCGGGTTTTTTTTGGGTTAACAAAATTTTTAAAATCTTTGAAATAAAAATAATAAATTGATTTTAATCGTTACAAGAAGAAGCAATTAATTTGTAATTAATATTATTTAGAGGATATTGTTTTAGAAATTGGTAAAATGGAAGAATATTAGGAGCCACACATTTGCAGGCACTAAGCTCCAAACCAAAACCCCCCCAAATTGTTCATCGCTTTCTAGAACTCTCTACGTCTTCCCCTTAAACCTCTCGTAAGGGTTTAATTTCATTTTGGAATTCGCCTCTTCTACCAACTCTTATCTTTTCACAGCGCTTCATGGCTCCAGTTTTCAGCAGAAGCTTATCCACTGTTGCTCTTTCTTCACTTCCTTCCTCTTTTTCTTACCCTCTACCTACCAGTGGTACGCGCTTGAGCTTGGGAAGCGCTTTTCTGCCCCGAAATGGGCTCAGAAACGGGTTTTCTTGTGGTGGGTTGAAGTGGAAGATTGAGAAGAAGGTCAATCGGATTGCGGTCAGGTGCGAGGCGGCCGTCGCCGAGAAAGAAGCGGCTGAGACTCCCGGTGAGAAGTTTGAGTACCAAGCTGAGGTGGGTGTTTGAATTCTTCGTTTATGTTGTTGATATTGATTGATTTTGAACTGCTGGTGAGCGGTGAGAAGGGCAATGATCAACCTATTAAGCAATTAAGCCTTCATTTTTGTTCAAAGATAGAGAGCAGTTGGGAAATGAGGTTTCTGTAATTTGTTAAAAGATTAGGATTTCTCGTTGATTTTGTTTTCTTTAAAGCCAAATTTATGGAAAACGAAGTATTGTTCTCTTGGTATTTTTGAAACGTTGATTTCCGAGCATGTATCGGGTTTATGTGGAGGCTTTATGAAGTATTTGGTATAATGACTGCAGGTTAGTCGCCTCCTGGATTTGATTGTTCACAGTCTATACAGCCACAAGGAGGTGTTTCTTCGAGAGCTAGTGAGGTAATAATGTTCATTATGTATTGTAGTCAATTTCCAGTGAGCTAGTGAGGTAATAATGTTCATTCAAGGAAGCAAGAAAATGGTTATGCATTGTGGTCAATTTCCAGTGAATGTGGTTCAATATGTTTTTGTAATCTTTATGTTAATTTTATTTTTTAATTGTTCTCTAGTAACGCGAGTGATGCTTTAGACAAGCTAAGATTTTTGAGCGTGACTGAACCCTCTCTGCTTGGAGAAGCTGGTGACCTTGAAATTCGTATCAAACCTGATGCCGACAGTGGTACTATCACCATAACGTATGACAATTTTCATGGATCTTGTACTGTTTTACTTATCATTACTGAGTGAACTTAGTTATTTAACAATTTCAAATTTTTTTGTGTTTTTAGAGATACTGGTATTGGAATGACTAAAGAAGAGCTCATTGACTGTCTCGGAACTATAGCTCAGAGTGGCACTTCAAGATTCTTGAAGGCCCTGAAGGTTCCCCCTTCCTCTATTTCCACTTGTTTCAGTATCATATTTTGCACACCTCCAGTTTCTTCGGGCTTTTTATGGTCATTGGAAGTGAAATTTAATGTCTGAACATGACAATTCTATCAGGAAAACAAGGATGCTGGAGCAGACAATAGCTTGATTGGTCAATTTGGTGTTGGATTTTATTCGGCCTTTCTTGTCGCTGAAAAGGTTGAGTAATGTTTTCCCTTGACAAAATAACTGTTCTCTTTGATGCAAACTTCTTTTCTGCTAAGATTTTCATTATGCCTATCTTCTGTGTTAATGTGATCATATGCAATCAGGTTGTTGTATCCACCAAGAGCCCAAAATCGGATAAACAATATGTTTGGGAAGCAGTGGCTGATAGTAGTTCATATGTTATTAGGGAAGAAACAGATCCTGAAAAGCTTTTACCGCGAGGAACACAGATCACACTCTACTTAAGGGTATGCATTATATCTTCTATAACACAATATTTCGGAACTTATCCCATGCCTGTTTTGAACTGTTAAGAAACTATAAATTTTTAGGAGTGATTGGTAGAACAACTCAATTTAGATGAATATAATTATTGCTGCAAGATTGCTTTATTTACCTTTACGTGTCATGGTAATATTTGTTGTTTTATTTGTGAATAGTTGATTAGGGGTTCGTGATTTGCATTGTTTATGTGGCAAGTTGCAAGTGAGGCCGTTAAATTACCATCTCTGAGGTTATTCAATCATTTTATAATCTTGTTCTATTATGCAGGAAGATGACAAGTATGAATTCTCTGATCCAACCAGAATTCAAGGTTTGGTAAAAAATTATTCACAGTTCGTTTCCTTCCCTATCTTCACATGGCAAGAGAAGTCAAAAACTGTGGAGGTATGAATGCTATGCATTTACTTGTAATGAGACTTTTATGCTACCCATGCAAAAGGCTCTAATTCTTTATTCTTCTTAATGAGTTTGGGTATATATCTTACTCTAACTATATGCAAGGAAAATTGGTTAAGTGTTTCTTTTCTAAATGAATTTAACAACTAAGATTTGTAGTTAGGACTTTTGTCCAAAATGATTGTATAATCCCTCAATTTCTGATATTTTATTTTGAGGCATTATTTTAGTTTTATTCTAGTTTATTACTTTCTTGATGTGATTATCAATCAGGAGGAATCATCATGTGCATTATTTAATCATCGTGTTTATTACTTTCAATACTGAATTGAGTTTTGGGGCAGGTGGAAGAAGAAGAAGAACTCAAAGAAGGAGAAGAACCAAAACCAGATGTAACCCACTTGTAAATCTTAGTTCAGAAATTTGTACTATTCTCCTTGATCAAGGTATTTGAATGTTTTCTTGTTTTTCAGGGCACGAAGAAAAAGAAGACAGTAACCGAGAAGTATTGGGACTGGGAATTGGCTAATGAAACAAAGCCAATCTGGGTGAGTTGAAGGGATATTTGCGTTATATGTCCATACTGAACTTGTAAAGAAATGATTTTGTTTATATAGTCGTTTAAGTGTTCTGCAGCAATCGTGCATTTTTATAATCCTTTATTCTTTTAATTTTCATGTGTAGATGCGGAATGCTAAAGAGGTTGAGAAGGATGAGTACAATGAATTCTATAAGAAGACATTTAATGAATTTTTAGAGCCACTCGCATATTCTCACTTCACCACTGAGGTAATGCATCCTTTAGTTTAATTAATATGAATTTATCTTTTATTAGAGCCTAGGAGTACTAATTTCATTTTTAACCCTACAGGGCGAAGTGGAGTTCAGGAGTGTTCTTTATATTCCTGGAATGGCACCTATGAATAATGAGGATGTTGTGAATCCTAAAACAAAAAATATTCGTCTGTATGTTAAGCGTGTCTTCATCTCTGATGATTTTGATGGTGAGCTGGTGAGTATATTTACGATATATAAGAGGTGTTTCATATATTATTGTGAATTGTCTTCTAAATCTTCATATCTTATACTTTAACTAATCCATGTAGAATCCCATACCTTATAAACTAGTTTGCTGAACAATCACAAGTCTGACTCTGTTCTAAAACCTACTTGGAAAGCACTTGTTATTTTCTAACCACATTTAATTTAATAAAAAGTTGATGTGAATTTCTCATGCAGCATAGTTTTAATTTGAGTTTCTTTAAATGGTTGAACTGAAGCTTACATATGCTTTGCAGTTTCCACGATATTTGAGCTTTGTGAAAGGTGTGGTAGATTCCGATGACCTCCCCCTAAATGTTTCTCGAGAAATTCTTCAAGAAAGCCGAATCGTAAGTTGTTTTAAACATATACATTAGTTTCTTAGGAAGGGCTATATTTTCTTGGCTTTCAGCTGTCGTCAATGTGAGCTGTGGGTATCAATCACTTGTAGGCCTCCTTATAATTATGGTCTTGGTCTGATTTGTTGCATTAGAGTTCCGTTCTGTAGTTTTTATGGGACGCTTTTATTGAACTTGTTTTTTGGATGCCCTTGTATATTTTTTCATCTTTCTCAATCAAAACTCAATTTCTTATCAAGAAAAAATGCATCAAGCATGCACAATTATCCTATTCTCTTACATTTTCTATGGTTTTTCTATTCATTCATTCCTATAAGCCTGAAACCCTAAAATTAAAATGTTTCAATGTTACTGGTTTCGTAGGCATAAACATAACATATCTTCTTTCCACCACTTTCCACTTACGATTTCCTTAAGTAGGGGCACAAGTACCTAGTTTACGAATGTGTAGTTTGAAATTTGTTCTGGTCTTAGTAGTTGGCATTACTGATTGAACTCATGAAACTTAAAGGATTTGAATGCTACCGATGGGCCAGACCGAAATGGTGACCACAATTTAAAAGAAACTTTTTTCTTTTTCTTTCTTTTTCCAGCACATTCCCAATCAACTTTGAGATTTTGTTTGCTCTCGATAGAAGATTATCTTTCACTGGCAATTTGTTGTTGCAATCATCAACATGCTTGATGAATCTACTCTTGTCAAATATTTTCCAGGTGAGAATTATGAGGAAGAGACTTGTCAGAAAAACATTTGACATGATTCAAGACATCTCTGAAAGTGAAAATAAAGAGGTTTGTAGCTATGAAGTCAAATATGACACAATCTATTTGCATTTTTTTAGTGCTGTGTAAACTAGAAAAAGGGAATCTGTGTTTCAGGATTACAAGAAATTCTGGGAGAATTTTGGCCGGTTCTTAAAATTAGGATGCATTGAGGACACTGGAAATCACAAGCGTATAACACCATTATTGCGGTTTTACACCTCCAAAAGTGAAGAGGAGCTGAAGAGCTTAGATGATTATGTCGAGAACATGGGCGAGAATCAGAAGGCAATTTACTATTTGGCGACTGACAGCCTAAAGAGTGCCAAGAGTGCTCCATTCTTGGAGAAATTGCTTCAAAAAGATATTGAGGTAAAAAAAATTCTTCTATTCCAAGAAACTCCCACAGAGGGTTGATATTAGTTATTTTAGTCAACTGCCGATCATACAATTATGCCAAATATTTTCTATGTTGATAAACTTTCTGAGGAGAAATAACTAATTCCAAGTTTAGAGTTATAAAGAAGCTTCTAGAGCTCTTATGTGGATGAATTGGATTGAGAGGCCAAAGATTTTTAGAAGAGTGAAAAGAACGTTTTTGTTTTAATTCTTTTTTTGGTGTTGGTGGTAGTGGGATGCTGCTTCCTCAAGTTTGGGTACTTATTACATGGTTCTTAACCCTTTTTCTTCTCTACGAACTTTTTTACTTTCTACCATTATAACTCTTTAATGAATGCTGGGAAGCTGTTCTTGCATAACTGCTGGGCTGAGTTGGGATGTTCTCTTGTTCCACTTCCCATCTTTGGTCTGCTCTTTAATGAATGCTGTTTGTGTCTTTTACCAGCCTTACTGTACATCTAATGTTGGGTTGTTTCGTTCGGTTAGGTTCTTTACTTGATTGAACCCATCGATGAAGTTGCAATCCAGAACTTGCAGACATACAAAGAGAAGAAATTTGTTGATATTAGCAAGGAAGATTTAGAGCTGGGTTTGTTCTTTTCTCCTCATTTTTGATTTAGAAATTAGCCGACCTGCAGAGAATGTTATTTTGTTCTTGTGAAAGGCAGTATGTTATGTTTGAATTATACTAATAATTGCTTTCTTGTATTAGGCGACGAGGATGAAGTCCAAGAAAGAGAAACTAAGCAAGATTACAACCTCCTCTGTGACTGGATGAAGCAACAACTAGGTGACAAGGTAGCAAAAGTCCAAGTCTCTAAGCGCTTAAGCTCTTCTCCGTGTGTCCTAGTTTCTGGCAAGTTTGGATGGTCTGCAAATATGGAAAGGTATGCTTTCGACATTAAATGCTCAACATAACTAATCTCGATGTGGATATAAATGAGTACTTCTCTAATAGGTTATTATCTACACTGCGAGATTAAAAGTAACGCACTTACGTAAACAAGTACTCCTTTTTTTTCTCAGTTTGGCCTCTTTCCTATTACAGATGAATATCATAATGATTTATGTAATAGTTCTTATAGATTTAGATTTTAACCTTCTGATTATAACTAAACAAGTTTGGATATTCCTGTCGAAATTTAGCTTTAAGCATTCTCTGATACGATTGAGATGCCGAATTTTTTTTTACTTGAAAATATATTCTTGGGGGTTTCAGTGTAACAATATCTTATCGGTGATTTCCCCCTTATTCCAGGTTAATGAAGGCACAGGCTCTCGGAGATACTTCGAGTTTGGAGTTTATGAGGGGACGGAGAATTTTGGAGATTAATCCAGATCATCCGATCGTCAAGGATCTAAATGTAAGACTTCTAACAATCCCTGTGTTTTGATTGGGAATAGGTACTTGTTAGTCTATCTGTAAGACAATTTGATTAGGACATCAGGATGAAGCCAAATTTTTTGCCAAAGATTGATGCACGACCGTGTTCTCAACGTCCGAAAATTGCTTGCTTGCTTGCTTGATTGCTTATGGGATGAGATCCTCCTACTCATATAGTTGATGGATTAGATGATTTGACTAAGGAGATTTTAGTTATACCATTGAGAAAATGGAATAAGAATAGTTAGTGACAGTTTAGAAGTATGTTGACACATTGTCCTGTTTTACAGGCCGCTTGCAAAAATTCACCGGATAGCAGTGATGCTACTAGAGCCGTTGATCTTTTATACGAGACAGCATTGATATCCAGTGGATTCTCTGTAAGAGAAAGTTCAATTAATGTTTGATTATTTTCCAGGAGTTCATGATTTTGATTGATGTCTTGCACTGTTCTCTCACTGCTCGTCTTCATACAGCCTGATAGTCCAGCTGAACTAGGAAACAAGATATATGAGATGATGGCAATGGCTCTTGGAGGCAGATGGGGTAGATTAGAGGACAACGTCGAAGATGCTGCTTCTGCTGCTGCTGCTGAATCCGAAAGTACCGAGGCACCGGAAGTGCAAGTGATCGAGCCCTCGGAAGTGAGGGCAGAGGATGATCCATGGCAGGATTAGGATGAAATTAACCTTGGCTAGATGTTAGAAGCCAGCCTTTTGACACTGCTGTGAAAGAAACAAGATATTGGTGGTGTTTGGCAGATCATTCAACAAGTTTTGATTCATAAATGCATCGATTTCGATGATTAAATCTCGATCCAGTGGGTATAAAAATGCAAAAAGGTACACAATTCTTGAGAATAATGCAAATGAAACCTCTCACAGTTTCAAATGTCTTAGCCTTAACACGTCTAATGCTATCAAATGGTGCCTTGATGAAAGAAGAAACTAACATACATATGTAATGAGATTGGAGTTCACACACACGAACTGCAAGATCTTAAATTTTAATGGGGAAAATACAAAAACATAATACTTTCTCAATCTTGGTGGAGACAGCAGCCTCTTTTCTGAACCATTACAACGTTCTCTGTTTTTGTCCAGCAAATCTTCGCCTTGCCTTGTATTATTCTCAACTTCTTGCATTGAAAGACATGCAAATGTGTTAAACTGTTTGGATTCCCATCCCTACCTATCTTGCTTCAGTCCCTGTTCTAACTTCTCTTCCACGTTTACGAGCTTATCGGCGAAACCCGCCATCAGACTTGGCAGAAATGAAATTTGCATTATTCTCTATGGATGCACATGCTAGTTTTACCCTATACAACTTTGAATCATGTAAAGACTAAGAGCTCGAATGCGAACTTAGAGTTCTGCTCTGGTGTTGTTGCATGGTGGAGTAGAGCCTGAGAGAGTAAAATGAAGCTTACTTTTAAGAACTTAGATTTTAAAAGAGCCTACGGAGAAACTTGAACGAATAGTACCATCGACATCTTGGCCACTGGGGGGTGCAGCAACGTCAAAGTTCCTTGGAACGACATTGTGGAGCTCGTTCTCCCATACATTCGGTAGCTGCAAAAGGCATATTCATGTCATATTACAATATGATCATTAAAGCATTGGAGTTGTTACAGAAAGAACAAAAGCATCTCTTGATGGGACTAGCATCCATTTCTTTGAAACATAACCAAACACAAAATACAGTGTGAGTAAGCATGTTTGAGAGAGTTAATCCCGAGCATCGGTGAAATATTATGCATCACATCGAACAGATAATTGCCCAAACATGCATGATAATTTAGCTCAAGATGCATGAAAAAAAAACCTGAACAGGCTCCTTGAATCCACCACCAAGTGATGCCAACTGGGAATTAATCGTTCTTCGTAGCAGGTCGGGAGAGCTCCCCATGTTAGGGATACAAGGTGGAATAACTCCATGGTGAGTCGGATGTTGCGGGAGGTAAGGCATAGGCAGATCAGGAGGGAAACCAAATAAGGATGGACCAGCCTTTGATTGCATGATCTGTTCAGAAACATGGAGTAAAGATTATCACATGGAATCAAAGAAGCATGAACTGTTTCATTGGATTTCACAGTAGCCTGCTTACTTCTTTTGTAAGGAGCTCTTCGATGTTAAAATCCAGCTTGGGATTAACTGTTGCAAGTTTCATTGACAAAAACTGCAGAGTATTTTGGGAATTAGATTAACCAAATAAGATCGTTAAAGATATCGACCGAATTTGAAACTATATGCTTAAGAACAAATGCTTGTATGCCGAGCTGGGTGGTTCATAAAGAACCAATCGGGAATACAGTCGCATAGTCCACAGAACAGGAAGTATGGTTTCTTTTTGTTACCTCGACTTGTCGTTGCAGCGATTGAACATAGTTAATGATCTCATCGAGCATTACAGCTTTGCCAGTGACCTGAGAACCGAGCAGCTTTTCAGGATATAGTGATGACAAGTACACAAAACGAACAGTTCACAAATTCAACTCACAAACCTTACTGCACCCGGGCACGAGGTCTTGAAGGAGCCGCATTCTTTCACTTATCTTTTCTCTTCTTACCTATAAAGACAGTAAATTAGTCCTTTTCCCTATACGAAACTTGTTTTTAGTTAACTAGAAAAAAAAAATGTGAGAAAATGTTAACCCTTTCGGCAAGACTATGGCTGTTCGTCGCCTGGCCTCTTCGAGCTCTAACGTGAATATATTCTTCTTTGGGCACATCCGACGGTTGAGAATCTTGTTTTCCTTGCTTCCCAGCAGGCTTGTTAGTAGTAAAACTTGGATTTTGGTCTTTGTCTCCGTTCTGCCGAGTTAATGCCCCGTTCTTTGCAGTTTCGTTAATTTGTTTTGGAGCTTCTTTAACTTGAGCAAGTTCCATATTCTAACCAAATCAAATATTCAATTCTAAGAAGCTAATGATATCATCCACCTAACCTCAATATCACACACACAAGAGAGAAAAGGCATTATAATAGTTTACCCGGTCGCCCCTTTTCCGTTTCTTGAAGCACAATCCTTCCCGAGATGGTTCGGCAATGGTACCTCCCAACGTGCATTGCTCATCTTGACCGCCACTGAACCCAGTTTCATCAGATTCATTACCAGACTCACCAACACAACCTTGTTTAGCCCTGTCTCGAGACATCTCGCTTTCTTTCTCGGTCTTTGGTGGACTCTTTTCTTTAGCCTCCAACACAACCTTGTTTAGTTCTTGACTTCCAAAGGCACCCCTAGAATGAATGCCAATAGAGCCTGAAATACCAAATGGACCAGAAGGTGGAGCCCCGAAAACGCCACCATTGAAGCAAGAGAACCGTGCAGCACGCTCTATGAACGCCGAATCAGCTGGTAGCTGAGACAAATTAGCTGGAAACATTCCAGGAACATTTGCTGAGAAAACTCCTTTCATCCATGAACTTTGTTGGTTCCAATCCATACCCAGAATTCTATCACTACTAGATCTCAAAGAACTTAGACCTTCCCCATCAACAACAGTCACATTAGAATCATCTATGCTGTTTGGTTCATTAAAACCGCTGCAGAACCTTGAGCTTTGCGAGTTCGTATGATCATTCAACACGGTTGGAGTAAACAAGTTCGACATTGAAGTTGAAGGACAAGAAGAAACAACTAGATCTCCATTGTTAACAACCGAGGGATTCCCAGTCGAAACAAATCCGATCGACTCATTAGCAAATTGCCAACTAGAGGAGATACTCATAGGATCACTAGTCCTACACTCATCTTCAAATTCATCCTTCCCATTCATGCTATCAGCAAAACAACAACAAAAAAACCATACAATCTCTCAACTTCTTTCCATCAATAAACAAGAATCTGCAGAGGAAAATCAAAGCAGATTCAAAATCATCCAATTCCCAGAATCCAAAATGGCGAGTAAGAACAGAAAACAGAACAAACAACACAATGGCCACACATTTTTCAGAATCATCCACAATTACAGAACGATTTCAAAGAAAAACACATCAAATTTATCAACAGTTTCCAAAGAATCCATCCAAAAGGGAAGAACCCATTTCATCAAATGACCAAAAATCATGCAAACAAGCACAAACCCATCAAAGGGTAACTCAAAATCATCACCAAAAAGAGGAAAAACAAAAACCCTAATCAGAGAAAGAAGAAAACAAGGTCGAAATCAGGCTTAAAAATGGCAGAAAAGATATACCCATTTCAGATTCTATTCAACTTTCCCCAAATTTTTAGTAGAAATAAGAGCTTAAAGTTAAGAATCCCACCTCCATTCTCCCTCTGCTGGCACTCACCTCTGTGAAATCACTGCCACAAACAGAGCGAACTCAGAGAAAATGCAGAGAGAACCCTCGTAATTTAGAGAGAGAGAGAGAGAGAAAAAGTGAAAAGCAGAGAAGAGGGTAAATGGGAATTTGAAGAAATAGCGAAAAGGAAACGGAACAGTAAAGGGACGCTGAATTTATACCCACGCTTACATGAAAAAGAGCGCCCTCGATGATTAACCATCGCCACTTCTACTGCAACAAAAAATAATTAAAGGGCCAAAAAGCAAACCCTTCTCTCTCTAATAAACCTTTTCTTGATTCACAATTCTTTATCATCAACTTGAACACTTCCCTCTGCCATTCTCAATATTTTAAGCTTATAATCATTCCTGTGTTTGAGCTAGCAACTGAAATTGCCAACTCTCATTTGGGTTTCTTCCCATTTTTTTAATCGGGTTCTTGAAACGAGAGAGCTGTATAAGATCTTTAATGGATGGGTTTGTTTGGTCAAGAACCCAATACAAAATCTTAAATCCTTTGAACACTTGTATTTGTTTAATCTTCAGTTTTGATGAACATGAACAGGATATGCATCTGGGTGTTATGTTTGAGTTCATTTCCTTTCAACGAACATGATTTCTTGCCTTTTCTTGAAATTTTTGGATCAAATCAAATGCACCAACCAATATCTATCCAATTTCATTAATGGATTTTACTGTGCTGAATTGAGTGAAGAGACAATTCAAGAGCTATAATTTTGTTGATGCCATTATTTTTGTGAAAATAAATGTCAAAGGTTGTTCTAAGTGTAAAGCTGTGTGCCACAAGAATAAGTTGCTGTCTTTTTCGTTATTTCATTATTTGCTCAATTATTTTTATTTAAGATCTCCCTCTTTATTTTTATTTTTTTTATTATTATTTTTTTTTTTTTTTTTTTAGAATAATGCTTTTTTTCATTATTTTTTTACTCTATTAAGAATGATACCCTGATACCATGTTAAAATATAAAGTGGGATGCAACGTCCCAAAAACATAAGTGTGATCAAAAGTTTTCGTCCAGATCTCAAGTCTAATTTTTATTAATGTTTTCCATTTTTAAATAAAATACAAACTACAAACTAAATCCTAAAATTAAGAAAATTAGATATATCAAATATAAAATCAAATATATTTATTTACGACAGGAAGAACTAACTTATTGATTTTTTTTACCAACAAAAGCTTTAGTTTGAAGATAAATATTAATATATTTCTTTTATTTCATTTCCAAAATAGATTTGTTTGAATTTATTTATTCCAAAGTGTATCTTTATGGTTACTTAATTTTTATATATATTTTTTGAAATAATATTTATTATTCTTGTCGGGTCAATATGGGTTAATAATCGTTCACCAAAATCATATTTACACCCACCAAGTGTAAAATGCCTCAAAATGTATGGTGAAGATATGTGACTAATTGTCAATTCTTCGTACTCCAGTTAATTCTTATTCACTTTTAGTCTATGACATTGGTTTCTTTCAAATTGTCTTTAACACATTTCCTCGCTCATGTTTTTCTAATATAATTCTTTCAAACGTGATTTA